ATAAGTGCCATTCATACACTGCTTTATCGCCACGTTCGGCGAGGTGTCAAACTTTTCCTGACCACGAGGTAGATATAACAGACATGTTTGATATGTATGTAAAATCTTCACGTCTGGATGTGTCTTTCTAAACAAGCATTTCTACATATTAGTGATAATCTTTTAAAGTGATACATAAATGATATACGGAATCTGGATGTAAATAAATGTTCTAGTGATAAAATCGGAAAACACTCAACCAACAAGCAGAAAAGATGGTAAATTTCCATAGGCGGTAATACATTTTTAATAAATTGATGAGTGCCAATCGTTTTTCTGTTCACACGATAGAAACGTCATTATGGGTATTCTGTGCGATAGACTGGATATAAAAATTAATTCATATTGATATTTATTTTAGTGTATCAGTGCATATTTTAAATGATTTTTTTTTTTAAACGAACTATAATTTGTCGCGTACTGCAAAATTATAATGTAGTGTCCGCGAAAAAGCCTACTCAGTGTTCGCCTTTTATGTTCTAAATACGCCAGTAATGGCTACTTTGTTTGTTATAGAATATATAATAGTGTCTGCAGTAATAAATATATTTCACTCGTGTGTCCGAATTTTTTTTTTTAATCTTTCGCAAATGCTGCGCACTACGGTGGAAGATATTAAAATATTGGACACACTTGTAAAATATTTCTATTGTTACTGGAGACACTTTCTTATATCATCTACTTTTTTGTTTAAGCGGTAAATATGTTTTCCATTGTATATATATATATTGTTCTAACAAAACATCAAACAATGGTAGAATCTTAATTGGCATAACAGCGATAATTCGAATCTCTCAAAGATTTCCAGTATATGATGTAAGTTTATTTACCGTTTTAGATTCAAATTTCTTTGTATATGTGTTTATGTACATGTTTTAAATGTTCAAATAATAGCTAGCTATTCCATGTGTCAACAGCGGATGAAGAATCGACTTTACATCAGCTGGTCGTCACCCACTGGTATGGACTGTAAACTGATTGGTCCAGAAACGCCATGTTTTCGCAAACACAGGTATGTTTATTGTTTTGTCATTTGTTGTTTTAATTAATTTCTTAAACGTACACTAATTACGTCATCTGTCTTGTGAATTATAACATAGATATAATGATTTCGAATAAAGTGTAGTGATTAAACATGTAATGTATAAAGTTAATTTATAAACAAATTTTAAAGGTGTGGAATGATGATTATGTAAACAATTACGATGTTCATATTTCCAAACGTACATAGTAATCATTCTTTTTTTAAATACATTGTAGAAGAAATATAAGATAAACAAAGCTCAGCCCATACTTGAATCCACGCCACGTGACATTGTTTGTGTTTTCGGTCTATGGTTCATATGGTACAGTATCGATTCTAACAAGTGCATTACTATTCACAATCGACAATACAGGATTAGCCCCTTTGTTGAATTCCAATCAACCAGCGAATCTTTGTGCATTCCATTATGAAGAAAAAGTGATTCCGGTATCAAAACTGAGAGTTAACCTGTTATTATTTTAACATGTCTAGTTAGACCAGATTCATTTTGAAAAGGAGATGGTAACAATACACGAAAATTATAGGATGTTGAGGGCCATGTGTGTACCAGGTATGGCGATTTAGCCATATATGCAGTTGTGTGTCCTGCATTCACTCACGTCGATATTACACAGTACACGTATCTGACATGACAATTAATAATCCGTCATGCAGGTCGTATTAATTTGGAACCATTCTTGGAGTTGAATGAATTAGTCGCTGACACTAAACTCATAACGATTTTAATTATTGCCATGCACCCTTTTTTTATTCGCGAACGTGTGAATAAGAACTTACATCAATACCACATGAACAGAATTCATAAGAATAATTGATATAATGCTACTTTTCAGGTATAAGCAGCATAAGACGGATTTTGACGTAATTCCAACTGAGCGACATATCATGATACCATGCCGACAGAAGGGATGCAAGTGTGTCACCTCTCATTACATACCGATGAACGGAAGTCAACCTATAAGGTGCAGCACATGTAAGCACACAGCAGGGGCGCGTTCGATTCGCTGTTCTGGACACTCGGTACATTTGGAACACCAATCGAACGCAGTAGAACAGCTGTCCGGTACAAGTTCTGGCTGTGCCATCTGAAAGGTGGTGCAGACGGCACAGCTAGAAAATTAATCATGGCCGCCAGTGAGAATCCACAGACTGTACATTCTATAAATGTGAATGTGGCGTATTTTTCGCAACACTTCACGCCGCTCTTTAGCACAAATGTGCAAAAAAAGGTAGGGTGGTATTTAAAAATCGATTGTGGTCTTATTTTCACAAAGATACTCCCAAACAAAGTATATCACTGTCTTTATCACGACAGTCACGTGTTGGGCTGCTGGGGCGAGTCTTCCCTCCCTCCCGAAATTGCTAAACATGCAATTTATATATATTACATATTAAGATGGTGTAAGTTTACTAAAAACGCTTAACAGTCTCGCAAAAAGTTAATTATCTACACAGATACCTTTATAGACCTTTGACGTTATGGGCTCTCGTCCGTCAACGTTATACCATTTGTTCCAGAAACGAATAGTTGAACACGTGTGTGCATGTACAGTAGAATCTAGGTCTAACTGATCGCGTACTAGATTTGGAATGTTTAAACAAATGTTCTAGACGTCTATTATTATTTATAAATACCTTTACTCTATTCAGTTATTATAAATAGGATTAGCCTATTTAATATTGGAAGAAGTAGTCTAATAACTTTATTACTAATTTGTGATACCCGCAGGCCAAATTGGAAAATACGAACACCTATATAAAGCTTTAAAACTTACTGACTGCTGAAATATTAAAGAAAATGTTAACTTATCTATGTCGCTCTGGAAAATACCCATCTCCAGTTTTAATTTATGTAGAACTACACTTGTTTAGAAAAAACCAACAGATCTCCAAGTACAGATTACATGTACATTGGGACCCCATACATATACATGTATACTTAAAAAAAGATGATTTGGAAATACATATACATATATGCAGTAATGCTAATTGAAATTTATAGTATTTGTAAATACAGTACACAATGTACAACAGAGTAATTTCATTAAAAAAATATTGCTTCTCAATTAAAGGTAAAAATAAATAAAAACTACAAAAATAAAAAAAAAAATATGCATTTCTTAATTTCATATATGTAAATGAAATTTATTTTTTTTGTCTTGAATTTAAGAAGTTCAAAGTTGACAAAAAATTGCATGTTATTTATTTGATGAATATTTCACTTGTCCAAGTATATTATATATTTCACCAGTGTATTATTATTTTCATTTCAGCAGAACAAAGATTTCCATACCCTTCACAAGCATCAAATGCTGAAAAAGAAAAAAAATATGTTCATGTGCGAAAACTGCACTGGCTATTTCAGTGACATGAAAGTATTTAACGAGCATGAATGTGAACAAGAGAAAGAACATGCCAACCAAATGGATGAGGCAAAAAAAAAGGTGCGTACTCTCAAAGTGGAACTGCAGTTTGGAATAGAGAAACAACACTTTTGTTAGTATCCACTTACAAAGACTTGAAGCCACTCTTAGACAGTGGAAAATTGAGCAAGAAAGACCTATGGGATAAAACAACATGTTCACTACGGTCCAAAGACTTTAGCTTTTCACCAGAACAGGTGTGTGGAAGGTGGAAGTCCATTACTAGGGCATACAAGAATGTCAAAGATCATAATAAAAAGAGTGGAGCAGAACACAAAACCTATGAATATGAAGATGAATTAGATGATATACTGGGGTCAGATCCTGCTGTTGATCCTGAATTTGTAATGGCATCTTCATCTAGCTCTGCTGCACCTGAACAACCAGCTACTACATCTCATAAGAGAAAGGAAAAAAAGAATGATAATGGTAGTGAGAGCGAAGGCAGCTCATCATCAGCTTCGGGGAGCAAAATGAAGGCAAAACAAAGCAAAAGAGTGAGAAAGTCTGGAGGATCTACTAATGGGGAAAGCATTGTGGATATATTTAAGAAATATGTATCTGATCAGGAAGAAGAATGGCAACGTCGAGAATCTCTACAGAAACAAAGATTGGAAGTTCTGACAAGTCTGGTTGATGTTCTTAAAGGAGATAGAAGAGACACTACCATCCAAGACAAATAACTTTCGAGAACTGCTACAAACTATATCAGATAATGAGTTTCTTTCATTGTTCTTTCTATATTACAGAATGTGTGGTTTGTATGGAAAGGGAACCAGACTGTGTGCTATGTGACTGTGACCACCTGGTGATGTGCATGATTTGTGCAGCCAATGTCAATATTTGCCCAATATGCAGAGGAGACATAAAGCAAAGAGTTAAAGTGTTCACTTAAATTGAAACTGTTCTCTTGTGAGTTAAGCAGTACTCTCTTAAATGGAAACAAACTTCTGTTAACTTTACACACAAATAGTGTTTTATTGATTTTTTGCAGATTCTTGTATTACCCTGTCTGCTATATTGCCCTGTCTGTTGTATTACCCTGTCTGTACTCTTACCCTGTGTCTGTACTATTACCCTGTGTGACACCGGGTAATAGCACAGACAGGATAATAGTACCGACAGGGTAATAGTACAGACACATGTTACCCTGTCTGTTTTATTACCCACGTCAGTATGTACTCAACCTGTCCGTCCATCCTTTAACATGTATTTCTTTTTGTAAGTTTATGGTTTTTAAGTTTTTGAAAATTGTATCAAAGTATGATACCTTATTTTTACATGTGATATAATGTATTGTTTAGCTGTTGTTGAATTTTGTTATTGTTCTAAACAAATAAATTTTGTTTAACTTTAAAATCGTTTTCGGGGAGCATATGTCACGTAAGCATGTATATTCCGATAGTTACTTTTACTTAATTATTTTTCACGGGGTAAGTATCCTTAATAGTGGGTACCTCTGGGCGGATGTACGTCACGGGTATGAGGTGTGCACGAGATGGACGTTTGTTCTGATACCGATATACGAGTCTTTTCGTGTACTCGATATGCAAATATCGTTGTTTATGATCACTTGAGTGAAGCACAGACGACAAACCTTGGTAAGTAATGTTTCTTTCTTGTTTTGCTGGTATTATTTTTATCCGTGCAAGTTAATTTATCGAGTCAAGCAATCGAAGTGGCGATGCGCTCCATTCATGCATGACTATTGCTAATCGTATGATAGATTAATATTGTACTTTTCGTATTTCCTCGTCATCATTGTTGTATTTAGATTCTATGAACGTAAGATAGTGTTGTTTGTAGATTCATTAAGAAAAAAAATGGTATTTGTCCATTTTAAGATTTATGGAAGCCTTGAGCTAGTGGTATAGTGTTGGCTGTCGTGTGTTCGCGCACAGGGCGGAAAAAAGTATGGAAGCTTTGAGGTGCCAATTATTAGAAGTTGCGCTAAGTCGTGTTTCTAATAGCTATTCGGAGCCGCACACTAGTTTCTCTATTCATTCAGTGTTCAATTACTTATAACGTGTAATGTACAGTACACTTAGCTAATATTTGTCAATTCGTTTTGTAATAATTATTTTGATAGGATGTTGGGTAAGAGTGAATGTAGGTGTCTGCGATATGTATATATATATTTCCGATTACGTACTATTGTAGCTTCACATTACGTAACAGTCATCTAGACTGTCAGGACCGGTACCAACTATACGCCATCAGGACCGACTGATCCAATATCAGGAATGCAGGTCTAGGTCAGTAAAAGTCTACTAAATTCCACTGTAGTTTAGGTTCTTAGCATCACTGCAAGATGAGCCAAAGGACGGATCAGCTCTATGATAAATCATTGGACGTAACGGCTGTATGATACGTGTGTTAGTTTCATACAATTATCATACATGTATACATTTTATCTGGTATCATTTTATAATATGCTTCAATTCCTTATTTGCTTTCATTCATAACAATAAGATCATTTTGATTTCCGGTGTAGATAAAGTGGTGGCCGGCAAATTGGTGCTGTTTATCTTGAGGTCATTGCCCTTATTAAAGATATCTTCCCGTGGCGTTTGTGTACAAATTACGCATGATAGTGGTAATGGACGGAGTTACAAGCTGATTGTCACTGGTCTATTTACCATCACAAAATGTCTACAGAGGAAAGAATATACAGGCATTACCACAAAAAAAAAAAGAATAAAATAAAAATTAAAAGCAAAATAAAAATAAAATAAATAAAAAACGTTTTGTAGGGCAAACTAGGGCAACACTGGTGTTGATAATAATATATCTCTAAGTTCGTGATAACACTGATAATTGGTTGATATTATTAGTAGTTATATACTAGTTAACAATACTAAAAGCTGATATAATATATGAAATCATATTTTTACCATTTTTTCGTTTTTTTAAAAATATATTTATATATAATGTCGTTGTATATATTTATACTTGAACAGTTACAGATGTTTAGCAGCAAACCACACTGGGACAAGAGACACGAAAGCTTAATACTACCGTCAGTGACCTGAGTGAAATCACAAGACCAGTCACAGTGTCGTCCTTGACGAATCTTTTCCAAGATGACTCATTCTGAGTTCCAAAAGTTACTTCCCTTCGTAACTACCGGATGGTATAGTGATAAGCTGGAGAGCCGAGCGGTGTGAGAATGAGAAGACTTAGCACTTTGGAAAAAAAACGGGACATTTTAACATATAAGTAGTATTGTAACTATATTGTGTATGAAGTTAGCATGTCATTGTATATTGTGAACAAGAGGTATTTGCTTTAATGATACAATAATAATAATAAAAAAAAAACCAACGATGCCACAATTTAATTTTATACTGTTGTTCATTTCAGGGTTATGACAAGATAAATATAACTGTTTCCGTATTTACCTTGTTTCGATGTTCTGATGTTTTTTATCTAAATTATTTGTTTATGACTAATACTATATCATTTAAGATCAAACAGTTTTAAGAGGTAGAATAATTACCAATATCTTATAATGTTGTTATTGCGTTGTCCGGGTCAGTAAGCCACATAAATCACACGGGAGTCCGGCTCCGTCGTTGTACACATATATTTTTATCAACTTCGTCAGTTTGGATCTGCGTTTGCGTTTATCGTTGATCATTCAGCGTTTGGCATTTGTCATCCATTTTTTCGCCTATTAGACCAGAAAATTCCCTTTCGGATTTCCCGACCGTCCTTTTTTCTAAATTTTTTTCCCGAACAGCTTCACTTTTCAGAATATTTATAATGGACGCCACTATCTGGATTTTCCCTGAACTTGTTATTGTGAACCTACCGTTTCCGCAAGTCTCTACAGACTTTACTTCTAATTGTTTGCTTTTGCACGGTCGGTTTTCGTTTGATATGCGTGTGGATGTTGGAAACCCTACTAACACGTCCGAGGTACACCGATTTACGAGTCGGTTATTATCGGCCCATTTTATTAGTCACATGACGTTAAACGGGACTTTTTACTGGCGGTTACAAGTCTACGATGTTATGCTACAACGCATCCACCGCTACACAAACATGCATGTCTTTGTCGCCAACGGACAAAGTCTATGGGTACAACGATTTACCAAATTCGAAAACAGCTTAATTGTCATAGCTAACAACGGTGCAGTAAAATAGGAACATCCATAGTTTGACATCTAAGTACAACTATTTTGCTTCAAGTTTGTCATGTATTTTTCTGTTTCATTTCATTTAACGAAGAATATGCTTTGCGGAAAATCCCTCAAGTGAAAACATCACGGAGTCACTATAACGGAAATGAAGACGGAAGATCGTCAATGATTGTACGGTCCAAATCACAGTTATATTTATTGCCTCTTATCACATCAGTGCCCAGGAGTTCAAGTGAATCATAGATCACGTGAAAATGATGTAAAGTCATTTTGGCTCAGTGTCGACTTACGTTACGTCAACGCTTTGTAGGTCACTTCAGTATAACTTTAAATCAATTATTCAGATGGTTATCAAGGGTGTAGCTAGCCCAGCAGAAATGTGTAAGCCCAGGTGAGGGGTCTGAATTTCATAATTTCAAAGATGTTTTGAATCGTTTTCTGAGAGTTTTTTTTTTATTTATTTAACAGCAAACTTCAACCCCTGATATTTATTTTCAACCTTGGATATGTAATTTTATCCGACATACTCTATGCACGGATGTGTAAGCCTGGGCTTTTTCTTTCTATGGAAGCTACGCCCCTGGTTATGCTTTTCAGGAAACGCTTCCAGTAAATATATAAACGGAAAACATTTTATTTATCTGTCAGACTGCATTCATATCGAGTGTAAACGCAATCCAACGACCATTAAATACAAGAGTGGCTAGCCACCGATCGCAATACATTGGACATTCGCACACAGTGCAGCTAGCAACTAACTATAACTTGCATTGTACGACCTTGCAGAACTTATGGAAATATTTCCTGGTATCATCTGAGAGGTTTCTTAGAGTGAGTGACAAGAAACTTACTAATATGGTCGGTGTAACATCTGTCGTCCGTGTACTGGAATAACTTGGTATTTTTTTCTCTTTTCAGGTAATTTACAGATCAGTTCGAGAACTAATGATGTTGTCAAAAGACATTCAGTTTGAAAAATTAAATCAATCGCAGACAGGAAATAAGTAACCAAGAGAGACGTAACCAAGTGAAAAATAACCAGGAGCTAAGTAACCACGAAATAAGTGACTAGAAGAGAGGTAACCAAGACACAAGAAACCAGGGGAGAAGTAACCAGAAGAGAAGTAACCTGGAGAGGGATAACTAATAGAAAGGTAACCAGGAGAGATGTAACCAGGAAAGATGTAAACAGGAGAACGGTAACCAGGAGAGATGTAACCAGGAGAGATGTAACCAGGAGAGAGGTAACCAGGAGAGATGTAACCAGGAGAGATGTAGCCAGGAGAGATGTAACCAGGAGAGAGGTAACCAGGAGAGATGTAACCAGGAGAGATGTAACCAGGAGAGATGTAACCAGGAGAAAGGTAACCAGGAGAGATGTAACCAGGAGAAAGGTAACCAGGAGAGATGTAGCCAGGAGAGATGTAACCAGGAGAGAGGTAACCAGGAGAGAGGTAACCAGGAGAGAGGTAACCAGGAGAGATGTAACCAGGAGAAAGGTAACCAGGAGAAATGTAACCAGGAGAGATGTAACCAGGAGAGAAGTAACCAGGAGAAAGGTAACCAGGAGAGATGTAACCAGGAGAAAGGTAACCAGGAGAGATGTAACCAGGAGAGAAGTAACCAGGAGAAAGGTAACCAGGAGAGATGTAACCAGGAGAGATGTAACCAGGAGAAAGGTAACCAGAAGAGATGTAACCAGGAGAAAGGTAACCAGGAGAGATGTAACCAGGAGAGAAGTAGCCAGGAGAGGTAACCAGAAGAGAAGTAACCAGGAGAGAGGTAACCAGGAGAGAAGTAACCAGGAGAGAGGTAACCAGAAGAGAAGTAACTAGGAGAGAGGAAACCAGGAGAGATGTAACCAGGAGAGAAGTAACCAGGAGAGAGGTAACCAGGAGAGAAGTAACCAGGAGAGAGGTAACCAGGAGAGAATTAACCAGGAGAGAGGTAACCAGGAGAGATGTAACCAGGAGAGATGTAACCAGGAGAGAGGTAACCAGGAGAGATGTAACCAGGAGAGATGTAACCAGGAGAGAAGTAACCAGTAACCAGGAGATGGAAGGTAACCAGGAGAGAGGAGAGAAAGGTAACCAGTAACCAGGAGAGAGGTAACCAAGAAAGATGGAACCAGGAGATAGGTAACCGGGAGAGAGGTAACCAGGAGAGAGGTAACCGGGAGATAGGTAACCGGGAGAGAAGTAACCGGGAGAGAAGTAACCGGGAGAGAAGTAACCAGGAGAGATGTAACCAGGAGAAATATTCTTACATTCATTACAACTGTTTTAAATGTTATTAAATATAGCAGAATTGTGATGTATAGTTTAAACATATTTTATTGCAAAAGCAAATGGATTGGGCACACGTTATCTCAACTTATAAGAGCCCTCTCCACAATAATATATACAATGAATGTGACAACAGCTATGTACAGTTACAAATCATTTTTAAATGTTAAATATATTAGGGAAAAAGGACAGAAAGAAAAGATGGGAGAGGAAGAGAAGAAATTGATTTAACAATCTGACGTAGACCACGCTCATGTCTGGCACTATAACTGCAACTGCATTAAAACACCATTCCTATAGGCCATCTCATTCTCTTCAAGGCTTTCAATTAAGATTAATTAAAGTGCCAGGCAAACATTCCTCGTAATTAATTAATAAATAACATTCAATATTAATAAATTAATTTAGTAGCTATTAGAGATACAGAAAGTGATGTGACGTTTTGTGTTACAGATCAGTTCAAGTACATTTGTCTTAGCTTTGTTTAATTCAGGGCCATTGAATGAATACCAAAGACTCAAAAGAAATAACGGCTACTAGATATAATATGAATTATTTTGAATATTGAATATTGTTGATAATGGATACGTTCGTTTCTTGTCGATGCAATTTTGGTTAGTCTTAAATACATGAACACCGAGCATTAAACCATATAAAAGCACGGAACTTGATCACAAGCAGACTTTACATTGTAGAATCAGTCCTCCAGGCTACAGGTATATTACCTATACAGTAGAATGACATAAGTAACTCAGCTTTGATTTAACTTCCTTCATTTATCACTAAACAAAAAGGATCGGACACAATTTACCGCAACGTAAAATTACATCGTTTACAAGATTTCATGACACATTCATCAAAAAACTTAAAATCAGACAGAATTTAAGAGTAGAAGAGATTAAGGAGTCGGAGAAGGTGCAGGAAAGAAAAGTAGGACATTGGAGCACGGAAGATATCTTGAGTGAGAAATAATCTGGATTTTTGACAAGGTTCTGGACGATTTATATGAAAATAAATTCTGATATTCAAGCGTTTTCATGTTACGAAGTACAATTTCCAAAACTTTCGATGATAGATGAAAAATGCACGCGTAAATGTCCGAATAATATAAAAATAGAAAGACGAAAATGAAAATTCCAATGTTTTAATGATGTAGATTACAGAAAAGCCTCTATGTGAAGCTGATTTGCAATAAGCGTTTTGATGACCATGATTTTCAACCAGATTGGAGGAAAGCGTATACCTGACCTTGATTTTCAAGTTTTTTTTGGTGCAGCAGATGTAGATTTCAAACGTATTATTAACGTTGATCAGAGAAAAGCGTCCATGAAATTGATTTTCAAGCTTTTTGATGAATCGGATGGAGAAAAGATTTTCAAGCTTTTTGATGAATCAGATGAAGATAAGCGTCTGAATGACCCTGATTTTAAGCTTTTTAGTGCATTGATGAAAGGAAAAGCATCCGACTGACCTTATTTTCAAGCTATTTGATGAATCAGAAGAAAAGCGTCTGAATGACCCTGATTCAAGCTTTTAAGTGACGTTGATGAAAGGAAAAGCGTCCGACTGACCTTGATTTTCAAGCTTTTTGGTGAAGCAGATGTAGAAAAAGCGTCTGAATGATCGATTTTAAGCGTTTTAGCGACGTAGATTAGGGGAAAGGCATTTATATGACCTTGATTTTCCAAGCTTTTTGATGAATCGGGTGCGAAAAAAGGCGTCTGAATGACGGATTTCAAGCGTTTTAGTGACGTTGATCAAAGAAAAGCATCCGACTGACCTTGATTTCATGTAGAACAAGCTTCTCAATGAACCTGATTTCAAGCGTTTTAGTGACGTAGATCAGGGGAGAGCGTCAGAATGGCCTCGATTTTCAGGCTTTTTAGTGAAGCAAATGCAGAAGCGTCTAAATCAACCCGATTTCATG